CAGAGCTGAGGGGGCCAGAACTGAGGGAACCGGGGCTGTGAGGGGGAGCACGGGGGAGATCGGGGCTGAGGGGACGAGAGAGGAGGGGACCGGGGTTGTGAGGGGGAGCACCGGGAAGATGGGGGCTGACAGGGAGCACTGGGGTGATCATGGCTGAGGGAACCGGGACTGAGGGGACTGCAGCTGAGGGTGCCAGGGCTGTGAGGGGGAGCACCAGGGAGACCACGGCTGAGGGGGATTGGGGCTGTGAGGGGGGCCCAGCCAGCTGAGGAGAGCATGGAGGGGTCACATCTGTGAGAGGGTCTGAGGGGTGCTGGGGTGAGGGGTGGGGAGACCAGCCTGAAGAAGGGCCAGGGGTCTCATGGTGGCCCAGCAGAGCCCTATTAACACCCAGCGGGCAGGTGGCCGGCCTGGGCAACTACGGTCTGCGGGGGACACGGCACAGCGTGGGCATGGCGGTGCTGGACCAGCTGGCCCGGCAGCTGGCGGTGGCCGAGGGCTGGCGAGCAGACAGGCGGTGCTGCGCTGACGTGGTGATGGCCGCGGCCCAAGGCCTGGAACTGGTGCTGCTCAAGCCACGGAGGTTCATGTGGCTGAGGGGGATTGGGGCTGTGAGGGGGGCCCAGCCAGCTGAGGAGAGCATGGAGGGGTCACATCTGTGAGAGGGTCTGAGGGGTGCTGGGGTGAGGGGTGGGGAGACCAGCCTGAAGAAGGGCCAGGGGTCTCATGGTGGCCCAGCAGAGCCCTATTAACACCCAGCGGGCAGGTGGCCGGCCTGGGCAACTACGGTCTGCGGGGGACACGGCACAGCGTGGGCATGGCGGTGCTGGACCAGCTGGCCCGGCAGCTGGCGGTGGCCGAGGGCTGGCGAGCAGACAGGCGGTGCTGCGCTGACGTGGTGATGGCCGCGGCCCAAGGCCTGGAGCTGGTGCTGCTCAAGCCACGGAGGTTCATGAACCTCAACGGGCTCAGCGTCGCCAGTGCTGGTGAGCAGCGTGGTCACCCCCGAAACCTGTTATGCCACCAGGCCCTGTGACAGCCCTGCTGTCCCCCTGCCCCAGCACAGGCCCCTGCAGACCTGCCCTGCAAGGTCAGGGCCTGGTGAGTCTGTCCCCCCCCCTCATTTCTTGGGTTGTATTTCTGTTTCCAAAGCTGAGACCTACAGCTTCCACCCAGAAGACATTTACCTGGTTCATGACGACCTGGACAAGGCCCTGGGCAAGGTGGCGATCAAGCTGGGAGGCAGCGCAAGGTATGGGGTGGCCCCAACTCTCTGGTTGTGTGAGCTGGTTCAAGGCCTTGCCATGTCCTTACAGGCACACAGGCTGTTCCTGGCCCTGTCCCACCATGTGGTGTTTTCAGCACCAGTCTCAGGCTCGATCCCAGTTGCAGAGGCAACAGCCGGCTGTTTGGGCAGCCTCCCGGTTCTGCCCTGGCAGGAAGGGCAGGGAGCCTCCTGGAAGTGGCTGTGGGCTGGATCCAGCCCATCAGCTGCACCACATGGGTTTTTTTATAGCACTCTGCCTCCACTCCGCCTGCCCCAGCGCCAGCTCCTGGGTCAGACTCGAGACATTTAACCTGGGAAATCTTCTACTGCGGGACGGGGCAGGGGTGGTACCAGGCCACAGTGCTCGGTTCACACGTGCAAGAGCTGAGACGCGCAGGACGTGCTGTCCCAGCCCTGCTTCCCTCCTCCTCCCCGGCCAGCTGCTCTCAGCCCCAGGGGCTGGATGTTCCTGCAGAGCCAGGGCATGGGGGCTGTGGCCTCTGGCCAAGACCACAGCCCCGCATCCCTGCAGCAAGAGACCCCAAGACCATACCATGGGGGTGGGGGGTCTCTTGCAGACTAATGGTGGGGTTTCTCCTTCTCTCCCAAGGGGACACAACGGGGTCCGATCCTGCATCAGTGCTTTGCGCTCCAACGTGAGTGGTCCTCAGTGGGAGGGGATCAATGCTTCCCCCCACCTTAGTGCATGGCTTGCCATCCCCCCGCTCCCGTTCTTCCAGCTCCCCTCAGATAAGCCCCTGCTCCCTTTCCTCTCCCCCTTTTCCCCTCCTTCCCTCTGCTTCCCCGAGGACTGATGTCAGTTTGGCCGCTGCAGAGGACATGGAAACAATTAGCTCAAGCGGCTCTGCCAGGGCCTGGCAGGAGCCCGGGCTCTCAGCACAGCCCAGCAAAAGCCTCTTCCAAAATCGTGTTTCTTGGAGCAAGCACTCAAAACCACCTGGAAAACATGAAGGGCTGCTCCCTCGCTTCCCAGCACCGTCCCCTTGCTCCAGCTCTGTCTCAGCTGAGCACTTGAGGTGGGATCCTCCAGCTCTCCTTTTTCCTCCCCAGGAGATGACCCGGCTCAGGGTCGGCATCGGGCGACCGGAGGGCACAGTGACAGTGTCCAGCTACGTCCTGTCTCCGTTCAGCCCCCAGGAGCAGGAGAGGCTGGAGCAGGTCCTGGCCCAGGCAGCGACGTTCCTGCTGGAGCACATCCTGCGGAGGAGAGCGCCCATGGGGGAGCCGGGGGACAGGGGCTGACGTGAACCCCCAGGGACCTCTGTGGCCGATGGACAGGGTGCTGTGGACTCTCCAGGGTGACTGTGGTGCGGAGCAGAGCTGGCCCTGCTGGGCAGCCCGGCCGGGCGCTGGAATAGCCCCTGTGTGTCCCCACGCAGATCCAGGCAGCTGGTGTCCCTGCAGTGGCCTCGTGGCACTTTGGCACAGAAATTAAATAAACCCTCACCCCTGGCTCTGTCCTGCTCCCATCCCTCTCCCCTGCGCCGCCTCCAGAACTCAGGCAGTCCCTGGCTCTCTGCGGCTCAGATCCCTGTTCCCATCCCTGTTCCACCAGTCCAGGCTGGAGGGAAGGTTCCAATGGGAAGTGGGGAGCAATGGGAGTGACTTCTCTGGGGTCCAAACCCCAATTTCAGCTTTGTTGAGGAACCGTGGCATGCGCCGGTCACCGGGAGTCTCTGGGCTCAGCAGCACAGGAGGGTTGCTCCTGCAGAGCTGCAGCACGTTTCGGGGCTGACCTCGTAGTTCTTGAGTTTGCTGGCTTTAAGCCAAAATCCCAGAGTTTCCAACAGCTGGAGGAGTCCTGGCTCCTCCTCGCAGACCCAGTACAGGTCTCATGGTGGAGAGGGCAGTCTGAGAAGCAGGGTCTCTCCACCACCACCACCACCACAGCTCCCAAAGCCCTGGGCTCTGCCAGCAGGTCCTGTTGGCTCCGTACCCCGAAAGCCCCAGCGTGGGCAGCTCCTCACCCACATCCCAGCAGGTGCTGGAACAAGCACCAGGACCCTTGCTGGGTGACGTACCACAGCCCTGCTGCTGCTTCCTTCCTCTGGTCCAGCTGGCACCAGACCTTCCCCTGCTCCATCCCCAGCTCCCAAGTTCCTCCTGTAGCACTGAGGCTACCTGCGACCAGGGGATGAAGCCAAGGTGTCCCCAACCTGCCATCACCCCTCCATCCTGCTGTGTTGCCCAGGTCTATACTGGCTGGGACCCTGTGGCCTATGGCCATCTCCTTCTCCCTGTTCTCCAGTAGATCCACTCGGATCTGTGACCTCCCGGAGCTGGATGTCCTTCAGGAGGTCCTTGCTGTAGCTGTTCATCCTGCCCTGAATGACGCTCTCCTGGAGCACGTGATGGTCTCAGACATCCCGCTGTGGGTCTCAGCTACTGAGGCTTCCACCCCCTGCTCCATCGCCTTCATCGGGCTGTGGGGAAAAGAGGGGTGCAGCCCCCAAACCCTGGGTGAAGGCACCAACCCACCATCCGGGGGTTAACCCCAGCAGCTGCTCCAGAGCCAAAAGTGGCAGCAAGTGGCTGGGCAGGGGTGGAGAGAGATGGCATCTCTGGCAGGGAGCTCACATCTCCCCAGCTCACCCAGAGGAGGGCGAGTTGCAGTGTTTTTAAAGAAAATTGCTCCTCCACCCCAGAAAAACCTCAATTTTCAACTGAACCTTGCCCTGGCGAGGAGCTGAGGTTTAGCACCAAACAAGCCCAGGCTCTTGGAAAGCAAACGCCTTCCTCCAGAGCTGGCCACGAAGGTGACAGATGCCGGAGCCCAGCAGGACTCAGCTGCACATCTCGGTGCTCAAGCTGGTGTCAGGTTTTTGGTCCCTTCAGAACCCTCCGCTGAGGACACCAGCGCCAGGGAGGGAAATCACTTCCATCAGCATTCCCGGGGGAGAGCTGAGCTCCAAGGAAATGCCACCCACCTTTTCAACCCTGGGCCCCAAGGGAGAGCTCCATCTCCATCTCCCACCCCACCTTCCTCCCTCCCGGTCCCCATTGCAGATTTCATTCCCAAAGCAATCTCTGCCCGGGGGAACCCCCGGACCCTCACCACTGCAGCTCTGAGGTGACCCCGGTGGGGTTTGCCTTGGGGACATGACGTGGGGCAATGTCACCCATCAGAGCCAGCACATCAGCTCAAACACAGTCTGCTTTAATCCTTCCTGGCCTTCAGCCCAGACACGGCACAGGCGAGGGACAAGCCCAGTCGGTGGCAGGAGGCCACGTGTGCCACCACAGGAGCCAGCCCCCAGCCTGAAAAACACCCCCCAAAGTCCAAACTGGTGGGAGACGTCGGAGTTGGCATCTCTCAGGGCAGTCCCGGGCACGTGTCCCCAGCAGAGATGGAGCAGGACGCTCCCCCTGGTCGCTCTGCCTGGCAGGGAAAGGGCTCTCCGGGCACCCTGGGGACAAATCCTGCCTCGGATGGATTCACCACGCACAGACTGGAAGGACCCTGGGGGGATCCAACCAGGGCAGGTCTCTCAAGGAGGAGCAGGCAGGATCAGGTCACTGGCCCGCCAGCTGGGTCACAATCCCTCGTCCCTAGGAGACAGGGACACGAACGTCAGCGGCCGAGGCAGGAGCAGCCCCGACGCCTTCGCGCCTGCAGCAGAGGGTTGTTTTCCAGCCTCCCCCGGTCTGGCTGCTCCTGGGGAGGCTCCGCTGCCAGCACAAGCAACCTCAGACAGGGAAAGTCTGACCCGGCGTTAACCGTGGCGGTGCTGCCTCGGGGCCGGGCCAGCGCGGGCGCCTGCACGGCCACCCCACGGACACACAGCCCCAGGGAAACCCACTTCTGGGGGGCAGCAGGCAGCGGTGGGGTGAAACATCCCCCTGCGAGGTGCCCCCAGCTCTCTCCAAACTAGGGTGACTTTTGCAGGAGGTGAAGGAGCATTGTCCCTTCCTTGTTTGAGGGGATGGGGAGCAGCAGGGCCTGGTCCCCTGGTCTCCTCCAGCCCCATGGGACATCTGTGTCCCCATCCCTTTCCCCGCCTAGAAGAGAAGGTCTCATCTCTGTTTTCCAGTGCTTTGAGTCTGATGTGGAGAGCTGCTGCCACATGGCAAAAGGAAGGCATCTGGGACACAGCTGACCACGGGGCTCGCAGGGAGATGCTTCCCAGCCACTCTGTCCCCTCATCCCTGTCCCCACACAAGTAGGTCCCACGGCCTTGCTCACCATCAGAGCTCATCGCGGGCAGTGGAGCGGAGGTGGCCAACACCGCCCCGTGGGTCCCTCAGGGTCTTCTGCGAGCCAGCCCAGTCGGTCTTCTTGGAATCATCATCCCAGATGGTGGAGGTCTCAGTGTCACTCAGCCAGTTGCTGTCCCCAGCGTAGTGGGTGGGATAAACCAGGAGGGGGTGAGCCGAAAACACCAGCAGGTCCCGGGGGATGAAGTGCCGCTTGTAATCCTCGCTGGGGAAAGCAAAGTGGACCCAAGAGAAGAAATTGGCTTCCAGGGCATGGCTTGGTGGAGAAAAAATGAGCTGGGAAAGCCATAGTGGCCACCTGGGGAAGGCACTACGTGGGGCAAGTGATGGAGAGGGACACGGGGAACTGGGGAGGGACACGGGGAACTGGGGAGGGACACGGGGAACTGGGGAGGGACACGGGGAAGGCAGTGAGCTGGGGGGCTGCCCCATGCTGCCTGCTGCCTGCAGAGCCTGGCTGGGGGGGACCAGGGTGAGACTGTGGAGGGGACGGGACCCTTCTCTCCCCACCAGCCTCTGGGGCACAGGGCCAGCCCTGGCACAGAGGGGGTCTTTGGCATGGCGTCCTGCTGGCCTGGCCCCCAACCAGGGCTGTCTGGTGCCGTTATCCTGGCGAACATGGGACTCCCAGCTGCTCCTGGTCCACATCCAAAGCGCTAATCCGCCCCTCCATCCACCTCCAGCCCCCCTTTTACACACCTAATCCCTCTGCTCCGCCATCCCGCTCGCTGGCTTTCCCACCCCTTCTCCCCCCGGAAAACCCGACCACCAGCACTCGCCCACCCCATAAATTGCTTTCCCCCTCCCCAGACACAGCCTCACCGCTGGCCCCCACCCGGGAAGAGGGGCAGGGAGGTGCCCCACGGTGGGGCTGAGACCCACAACCAGGGGCAGGGGACCACACAGCCCCCAGTACTGGGGTACAGGGGGCTGCTCCCCACTTGCCATGGGGCCAAGACCCCCACATGGGGCCAGCATCGAGCCCCAGCTCCATCCCCGCCGCCGTCCCCCTACTCCACGCTGGCAAAAGGCCATTTTCCAGGGGCTGGCGGCCAGGCAGCGGCCGGAGGGGAATGAGCTCATGCTACAGATGTTTTCCTCCAGCATGAGTAACACTGGGAGAGGGGGGGGACACGACAGGGTGGGACGGTGACGGCAGAGAAGAAACACATGCTCCATCACCAACATGGCCACACCGCTCCACCAGCCCCCCTCCCGCACCCCCTGCTCCTTACTTGGGGTGCTTGTCGTACATGATGGGCAGGAACTCGTCCACCGGCAGCATTTTGGAGAGGGGGTTGGCAGCCAGCAGCTTCTGCGCCCCGCGGCGGGAGATGGCATAGGCCAAGGTCCAGTAGGAGTACCCGGCCACCACCAGGTTTCGCACGCCCTCCACGGGTGCCTCGTCCTCTGCGTTCACCTGCTTCCTCCCCAGGTAGCTGTGGGGTGGGCGGTGAGCCATGAGAGCCAGCCCCGGGGACCCCGCATCCCCCCAGCCCCGCACCTACATGAGGTCCCAGTCCTGCTGTGCCCCCTCCAGCTCCCCCATCAGCCGCTGCAGCCGCGCTGGGAAGGCGGCCTCGAAGCGCACATCGTCCTCAAAGACCACCGACCGCTCCAGCCCCCGGGACACGATCTGCGGGGAGAGGACAGAAGTGCAAACCCATCCCAGCACCGTGCTGGGCCATACTGGGTTCACTCACCCTGCAGAGCACCCCTCTCCCCAGACATGGTGATGATCTGGAGACATGGTGATGCTCATGGGGTTCCTGCCCTGTCCTGGTGGCCCTGAAGGACCCAGTGGTTCTCACAGCCTCGTACCTCCTTCCAGATGTTGTAGTGGCTGAGGAAGCAGCCAACCTCGCCCTTGGTGAGTGTGCGGCCGGAGAAGGGGTCATAGTACCCGGGGAGAAGGTCCACCCCCAGCACCTTGATGTCACTGCTGTTGAGGGTGCTGCAAGGCAAGGGGCTGCACTGGAGAAGTGTCCCCCCCTTCAGTCACCTCTGATTCCCTCCCCAGGGTGACAATGGGGGGGCTGGCAGAGTGGGGACATATCCCTCCATGGTCACCTCCCGTCCACAGCGTCCACCACCCGTGGGGCAATTCCCAGCTCCTGCAGAGATGCCAACATCCGCTGGCGCCGGTCCGGCCTCCGCACCAGATTGATGAGGAAGATCTGGGGAGGAAGGGGATAGCCCACCAAGGGGACATGTTGTCACAAGGTCGGGGGGGACACAGTCTGCCTGGCCATCACAGGATGGGGGATAAGGGGCTCGGCCAAAGCCCATGGTGGGCTTTGCCATGGACAGATGCAGCCAAAGGGATGGACTGGGGGACATGGTGGGGTCCATTGTGCACTTACTTCATCAAAGCCCATTTTCGTGAGCGGCTTGGGAAGGAGGGAAATGTGCCTGGAGCGCTGCATGGGGGGGCCATCCACTGCAGAGAGAGGGGACACCCCTTTGGTGCAGCCCAGAACCCCTTGGCAAAGAACCAGGGCTGATAGCCCTGCCCTGGGGGCCATCAGCAGGTCCCCATCACCCCTGGGGTGGGAGACACCTCCAGGACACCATCACTCAACAGGTACTCACCCATGGCCTCCAGCGTGAGATGCACAAAGTTGGCACGTTCATCCTCCTGTGTCTGGTGGGCCTTCACGGGGACGTTGATGTAGCCGAAGCGCTGCTGGTTGCACACGTGGACCTCCGCGCCTGCCAGGTGGGACGGGTGAGCACCACAGCCCTCCCAAACCCTTTGGTCCCCCAAACCTCTGGGCCCCCAGCCCTCACCAGCCGCCTGGCAGGAGTAGGCAAAGACAATGATATCATCAAAGGCCCAGGTGTAGTTGGGATGGGGTGGGTAGAAAGCCAACCGTGACGTCTCCTCCTTCCGCAGGTCGATCAGGAAGGTGGCGTAGACCATGGGGACGGCAAAGCAGCCCACCTGCTGCCGGTTCTTGGTGGGGAAGTAGTCAGCTGTCCGGCGGTAGTACCCCTGCAGCACACCAGCGTGATGCCTCCATGGTGGGGGGGTTCCTCTGCCATGGAAAGGGGGTCCCCAGGGTTTGCCAGGGACGTACCTGGGGCGTGATGCCACACCAGAAGTTGGAGTAGAAAGTCTGCGAGTCCAGCATGGGGGCCACCACCGACTTGTTCTGTGCTATGAGAAACTTGAGGGTCTGGTTGTTGGTCAGGATGCTGTCGGTGTCCACAAACTGGGGGAAAGACACAGGTCCTGGAGGAGTGGGGGATGCCCACCTCGGCCCCCACCCCACCTTGCCCCGTGTCCCTTACCAGGATGTAGTCCGCCTGCTGCTCCCGGGCGTAGGTGAGAGCCTCCTGCTTCAGCTTCATCACGTTTTCGTAGCGTTTGTTGCTCCAGTGCTTCGGCCCGAGCTCGTCGGGGTAGGAGCTGGGCAGGGAGGGGGGAGGCAGGGGTTAACACCGCTTGCTGGGAACACACAAACTCGGTGCACGCCACGCGTGCCGGCGGGCTGAGTCAGCCCAGCTCTGCCTCACCACCTCCTGGCAACATCCCCAGCCGGGGAGCGAGGTGCTGCTCCAGAAGCCCCTCGCAGCCCATGCCCACCCCCTGCCCTCCCACCCCCGGTACCCCCCAGCCTCACCTGGGCTCCTCCTGCACCTTCCAGGCCACCGAGTGATAGTCCTTCCCCACCGCCCCCAGCCACTCCTGCAGCATCGCCGTGGTGTTGTCTGAATTGTGGTCCGTGGCGCACCTTTGGGGGGTGAGGGGACATCAGCCTTTGGCAGGGGGGGGATCCCCCCACCCAGGGACAACCACAGCCCCCTCCCCACACTAGAAAAGGTCCTGGGGCCAGGAGGCTGAGCCAGCGACGCACTCCTTTGGGAACAAAACATGTAATTTGAGGGAGCCGAGGCTGCGCTGGCAGGAGGGGGAAGGCGAATGGGGAAATTCTTTCCCGGTGCCGCCACCGGCCGGGCTGTCCTGTGGCTCTCACCCCCCATCCCTGCAGCCCCACGGCAGCCCTGGCCGTGCTCTCCCCATCCCAGCCCTGGGGCTGCCCACCACGAACAGCATGGGAGGACAGCGGCTTCATCCCCCAGCCCACAGCTCCCCATAGCACCCCCGAGCACCCCACGGCTGCGGCGGCCAGAGGAAAGGCAGCAGGCAGCAAAAATCCCCCTCCCCAAACCTTCCCCCTGCCACGCACAGCTGCAGTCCCCAACTCTCCCACCCGACCTTGCAATGATGATCAGGGAGACCCCAGCACAGATGGGGCTGAGCCCCACGTTGCACTGGGGCAAACCCCAAGTCCCCATATTCCCCAGCACCCTCAAACTGTCAAAAAGCCCCGAGCTTTTTTGACCCAGGCCCAAAAAGCCTGAACCCCAGGCACTGGCATCAAGGGACACAGGGGACAAGGCAGGACCTGTGCCCCCCAAGACCTGCAGGCAGCTGCTCTTGAAACACCCCACAGAGCCCTGGGGCCGGGGGCCATGGCAGGTGAAGGTGAGGACCCCCCAGTCCCCCACTGCTGGCATCTGCCC